CTTTCTTTGGATCATAAGTCAAATCATAACTCCCTGTGTGATTGTTGTTCTCAGGCATGCAGTTGGGCAGACCGGACCTGCTCCCACAAACCCATCCTTTGGCTGGAAGCTCCAGTGAGTTTGCGGCAACAAATCTGCCCAGCTCCTCACCTGGCAGCACAGGAATGACATCATCTTCACCTCCTCAGAGGTACCTTCACACATCCTCTCTCATTTTTTTTTGTTTGTTTTAATCAGTCACTTTTTCTGTTTCTGTGTATTGCAGTCTTTTTTTGCCTGTTATATTTCATTATCATCTCTCTTGTTGAAATCTCTATAGCACGCCTTCACCTTCCCATGTATAATTATGGTATAATTATTAACAGGTCAGTAGGGGTGGAGGTGCACAAATCTGCAGTCATTGAGCCTGACTGCAGCGGCCCTCAGAGGTAAAACTAAGCACACACATCTCTCATGATTAAACTGTTAAAAGGACATTCTTTTAAAAGAAATTCATACTTTTATTCAGCAAGGATGCATTAAATTGACAGTAAAACTTCATAGTGTAAAAAAAAAAAGAATAAAAATAAATGATGTTATTTTAAACTTTCTGTTCATTAATGATGCCTGAAAAAATGTGTCCATTTCCACAAAAATGTTTAGCAGCACATTGATAAAAATAAGAAATGTTTCTTGAGCACCAAATCAGCATATTAGAATGATTTCTGAAAGATCATGTGACACTGGAGACTGGAGTAATGATGCTGAAAATTCAGCTTTGCCATCACAGGAAAAATACATTTTAAAATATATTAAAACAGAAAATAATTATTTTAAATTGCAATAATATTTCACAATTTTACTGTTTTTACTGTATTTTTGATCAATTAAATGCAGCCTTGATGAACATAAAGAGACTTATTTTAAAAAACAAAAACAAAAATCTTACCAACTCCAAATTTGTGAATGAGTTTAGAACAAAAAAGTGTGTATATACTGAAAAAAAAAAGTATTTTGGTAAAGTAAATCCCTCACTCTCTTCTTCAGCACTGGAGCCGAATGCTTAGATGAGCAGTTAAGCAACGAAGATGCCATTTCACTCAAAGACATCATCCCAGAAACTGACATTTGTTTTGTAAGTTTTAAATGAACAATTGTACGTATATGTACCTAAAATATTTTCATTCTGATCCCAAAATGTCCTCTCTTTTTTTTTCCCAGTAAGAGAAGAACAGTGACTGGTGACACAAGAGTAGAGCATTTAAACAAGTGATGGACACACAGAACCTCAGAAGAGATGAGGGGCTCATTGGTGGGTTTTCCCAGCTCTTTCTGTGTTGAGACAGCATGTGCCCTAAGAGCGACAAACATATGGGGGGAAATGACCAAAAATGATTCCCACTTTGTTAAAAGGTAAATGCATTTGAATGTTACAGATGAAATAGCTTTGTGTCTTCGAAATATCCCACATTCGGGCTTAGAATTTCATGGCTAGTTGCTATACGATTGCCTTCTCTGAGGTGCCACTAAGTAGATTTAGATTTTTTTTAATCGTTTAATTCAGATGCTTGGTTTGCCTTTTTATCTCTATGCATCTGTCTTTTGCATTTTGTTTTTCCCCTCCCTGCCCATTGTAACCATATTCCTCCGTACTGGACCAATCAAATGTCAAGGTTGAGAAATGGACGGCCCTGCTTGCATTTTCAATGCACATATTGCTGCCATGCCAAGGGCCCCCTAATATTTGTGTATATAATTCTGTAAATATTCATTCTGTGTTCCTATACATTATAAAACGCTACTAATGTGCTCTTTTGGCACAGCAACTATTGCCTTTTAACTAACATATTAATGAGTAGACTGACTGACTGATTGATTGATTGATGCACCATGACGTCTTCCAATCATCTGCCTTAATGCAGCTATAAAAACACTCATTTCTGCTGGATACAGAAATTGCATGGCCTCCAAACACTTGGACCAACATAGAACATGCTTAAGTCATTTCAGATCTACCCGTTACTGATGATTTTGTTACACAATGCATGTTTTGTTTTTCTTTTTACTGGCCCTTTCATACAAACCTAAGCATTTTCTAGCATTATACATAATCATATAGTGTGTAGACAAGACTGAAGCAGTTTGAATTTAAAGAATGTAAGACGAATTTATATTCTAACAGGTTATACTGTCGATAGATGAGATATCTTGAGATCATTCATAGCTGATTTCCAATTGACAGGACGTAAAATCCTTTATAGCCATGAAAATGTTCTTTGGTACAGTTGTACTTTAAGACTCACCCTGAGATTAAATAATTTAAGTAAAGAATAAAAAATGAAAGAAATAGACACTAACGGACTTTACCAGGGCACATGTGAACACTTTAGATCAGGGGTGCCCAAACTCGGTCCTGGAGGGCCGGTGTCCTGCAGAGTTTAGATCCAACCCCAATTAGACACACCTGAACCAGCTAATCAAGCTCTTACTAGGCATACTAGAAACCTCCAGGCAGGTGTGTTGAAGCTGTTTGGAGCTAAACTCTGCAGGACATCGGGCCTCCAAGACCGAGTTTGGGCACCTCTGCTTTAGATTATAGAGGAGCTGGAAAGCAAACTGAAGAGATTTGGCTCAGTAAAAGCTCTCAGTGAATCTGCCTTTCTATTATCGCTTCCATTTGGCTCATAACGTTTAACAGAGGAAATGGTTTTTAATGGATCTACCGTTTGACAGGGATTACTTACAGTTTCTCTTTGGCTGTAGCTCAAACAATAGTCGGAGCTGATTTCAGGCTTGGGTGCCTGTGTTAAACACAGATCTGAGACTGGCATTGCAGTCTTGAAGTATTTAGAATAAGGGCTGACTGTAGTCTTGAACAGTATTGTGTTGTCCCAAATAAAACCGTTTGTGAGCTGCAGCTCTTAAAATCATGCAGGTTTGGGACCGAAGTGATCTTTTGCCAAGGATTTGCTTTTGCAGACCTGAAGAAAATGCAGATAGAATATGCACAGGAAGTACATTGACAGTCTTTCACAAGACTGTATTGAAGTAATGTTCTCTACAGCTTCACAGTGGATGCAATATTTATGCGTATTTAAGTTGTCTTTGATATTTTGTAATGTTTGTTAAAAATCAGATTTGTATGCCTGTGGACAGAAGTTTGTGTCAATGGGTATTGTGAAGTTTTCTTTTCTTTTTTTTTTTTTTGCTTTGCTCTTTTGGTTTGAATCATTTCAGTGACTTTTTCAAGTCAGTGTCAAATGTTACACATTAAATCATGTTACAGAACATTTTGATAATGCACCTTAATGCTGCACAACACATAAGTTTAATCTAGAAAACACCACAACAAGCTAATATCTCTGAAAACTAGATCTAAACTCAGTTTGTCTTCTGCAAGTACACATTTAAGGATTTGTATCAGCGTCTGCTTTGGCACTGATATTAAAATCAAAGATATGCATTTTGCTATTTTACTGGCATATTTTCTTTTCTATTTTTTGAGTCATATTGCAGGTTTTGACACTGTTTCTAAACTTTAATAATTTATGTGATTATTTGTGAATGTCAAAAGTTACCTATATTCACATTTAACTCCTGAGACCTACAATACAGTAAGATTAACAATGCCCTGATTCACATTTTTACATTTTATAGTTAATTTTTATCCCCTTTCATTTCAAAGATATTGGGTCTATAATAATGGAGCTAAGTTACTTTTATAAAACCTTGCACACAATGTTCATATTCATTTCACTTTCCAATGTGGTGCTTTTATCTGGTCTGTGCAATGCCTCTTTTTAATGGGCCTTTTTAGATTTGATGTTCTAAAATTCATAACTCAAAAACTGATCTTTGATCAGCTCTCAGTGGCTTAATTTCACAGTTGGCTTGTGGGGTAGTTTTCTGAAACTGCAATAGTCTAAGCACACGGTATAAGTGTTTTTTTTTGGTCTTCACAATTGAGGCCTCACTCTCATTTCTGCTTCTGTTTGTGGGTTTTATTGTTATTTATTAATATGTGTTTATGGCCTCAAGACACAACAATCACTGCCTTTCTCTGACTAATACTCAGTACTGATTAATCTATTATTATTATGGGCTAGAATGATGTTCTGCTCCTCTAAAACCACACTAAAACATCTTAACATCTTGACATTAATATTCCAAAAGTGAATCTATGGTCTGGAAATACCAATGTAATGAAAATGAAAGTAAAATTGTGAATGCAATGTGAGCAGTCAAACAGAGACAGCCATGTTTCATATGCTTTGTCCAGTGTTTGTATTAGTACAGTGAAACAGTTATTTGCACAACAGACACATCAGTCGTGCACAGTGCACACCAGATTAAATGATGGCAACGTGGACACTAAACAGACAACCTACCTACTGCAATATGAACGTTTCTGCCAATGTATGTCAGTGATTGTATTTATTAAGAAATGTCTTGTTTCTCTTCTGTTTTTACTTTGTGGACCTGTATGGATTTTGAATTCTCTATGTACCGTAGATGATTGTATGTATTATGTAATCTGGCTCTTCCTCAGCTTTTCAACATGTGAATGTCTGGCGGTGTCAGGAACAATGACTGACAACCGTAAGTGCTTTGAGGTCTATATTTTTACCGGGCCTGTATAAAACGTGTAGCCTATATAATATATATATATACAGTATAAGCAAGTCACGGAAATGCCTTTTTCTTGTGCGGTGTTTGCAGCCTGTTTCTCCTACCATCTTTCAGTGATGTGGTGATGCTGTTTTTTCACATTGTCTTTCTGATTTAAAAAGAATAAAATATTTTCCAAACCATTATTTTTTTCTATATTTGTTTTTTCTTCCTTTCCTAGAATTAAAATGAACTTATACCAGACATACACTGCAAATGTAAGTGAAATAACCTATGTCTGAAATTAATACAGATTTTACAAAAATTAGTTGAGACTCGAATGGAAAATTCGTTTTGAACTAGACACAATGAACTACGTTTCCCATAATTCCTATCGTTCAGCGCTACATTAACCAATGATAGTTCACTTACGTGCTTACGTCACGTAGAGCGACAAAATTTCCAAGATGGTGCTTGAAAGTACTATGGTCTGGTAAGAAAAAAAAGATACTTTATATTCTTCAAATAGCAGATGTAGTTTGTTAAACGTGATGTGTTTAAATTATTACGCAATTATTTGGGAAACAGTGTTTATTGGAGGTGAGAGAAAGGTCGCGTTGAGCAAAAGGACAGTTGTGCAGTTTTCCTTAGTCATGATGGAACATTGAGCCTGTTAAACAGCTTCTTTGTGTTGACATGTTATGAGAGAACACGTTAGAAAGCGCACAGTTGCGACTGGCAGGCTTTCTGAGTTCTGTTTAAATCATAAATGGGTTGGTTGGTTCAATTCCTTTGTAATAATCTAGGCTTTTGTATAAATAACTGTCAAGACAGGATTTAAAACCCTTCTTTGTACTTGCAGTTTGTGTACTAAAACTACATCTTATATTTAAATATTAAATAGAACACTTACGTGGAGAATTAGGCTTCGTTTGTTCATTTGCAGAATCATATTTGGCAGGAATGTTGAGAGGACATCACCGTGTATGTTTATTATTTCTAGTGTGGACAACAGTGAATATATGCGCAATGGAGACTTCTTACCTACCAGACTTCAGGCCCAGCAGGACGCTGTCAACATCATCTGCCATTCAAAGACTCGAAGTAACCCAGAAAACAACGTGGGGCTCATCACTCTGGCCAAGTAGGTTGAAGATTTTTTTAAATTTTATTTTATTAACAGGTGTAATTTGTGATATTTTGTATAACTAGATCTGTAGAAGATGCAAAATAGGAGATCCATTGTGTGTGTTTTAGTAACTGTGAGGTCCTGACCACGCTGACCCCTGACACGGGCAGGATCCTGTCAAAGCTTCATGCTGTCCAGCCCAGAGGAGTCATCAGCTTCTGTACTGGCATCAGAGTAGCACATGTGAGTGGGCTGGATCATCATTTTTTATTTATTTATTTACTTATTTTAGAATGTATTTTTTATATTAGTCCAAAAATGGCATTTATTGATGTTTATTAATATCAAGTTGTCAAAATAACTCCAAATCTCTGTAAACTTCTGAGGTTTGACTTTATTACCATTTCACATTCAAATAGGCTGAAAAGTTACAGTCACAATAATCAAAACATAAGGCTCAGACAGAGGACGTAAAATTGGTCATGTAAACGATAAATTATGTGGACTTTACGGACAATACATAATTATATGTACTGTCTGTAAAGTCCACATAATTTATCGTTTACATGACCAATTTTACGTCCTCTGTCTGAGCCTTATGTTTTGATTATTGTGACTGTAACTTTTCAGCCTTATATCATCTGGACATGTTTTGTTATGATCTATTTGAATGTGAAATGGTAACAAAATTAAACCTCAGAAGGTTACAGAAATTGCGAGTTATTTTCACAACTTGATAAACAATAAATGCCATTTTTGGACTAGTGAGGAACCGTAAGTTTTAAGCTGAAACATTACAGTATATTCACATACAACATTTTAGTCTTTTATTTCAAAAGATTGAAAAGAATAAGATTTTAAAATGTTTGTGTACACACACACTCCGCAAAAGTTTTTCTACTTCAAAATGTTTAATTTAATGTGTTACTTGCTGTTTCTTTGTAATTGTGAAATGTACTAAATTTCTGAGTGAAAATTGTTGTTTCTGTATAAATTTTTCAGTGTGTGTGTATGTATGTGTATATACAGTGCACAGCATAAATGAGTACACCCCCTCTGAATAAATATATACCAGAACATGAAATGATTGACTTGGTCTCTTGAGACCAGAGTATGGATTCCCAAAAGTCTCTATTTTGTAAATATGGGCCCTGGAAGAGGTTAAATGAGTTTATTGTGCTTTG